TATCATTACATTACATTTCATATCATTACATTACATTACATATCATTACATTACATTATGCTACATCACATGACATTACATTACATCACATGACATTACATTACATCACATCACATGACATTACATTACATTACATTACATAACATTACATCACATAACATTACATTACATCACATGACATTACATTACATAACATTACATATCATTACATTACATCACATGACATTACATTACATCACATGACATTACATAACATTACATTACATCACATCACATGACATTACATTACATCACATGACATTACATTTCATTACATTACATATCATTACATATCATTTAATTGACACAATTCCCCTGCTCCTCCTGCAGGAAAATAATAATTAGATGTGAACTAACATCATCTGCTTCTTGAAAACGTTGTGTCAGTGCACGTCTGGGTTTTACAGCTGGTTGCAGATGTGAGAAGAAGATAAGAACATTTAATACAGGCTGATGTACTTGTAGTATTTGATTACTGTGGCAATGTCTGATGCCACCGGGGTCTCCCACATACAGCCACAGACGAGTGTGTTGCTTTTCAGCATCTTTATTAAATCAATCATAAACTCACAAAACTCTTAACTTAACTTGCCAGCTATTTCAGCTGATTCTGAATAAGTGAAAAGAAAGTTTCAGTTCTTCTCTCTGTCACCATGAGTGCATGTTATAGTTTGTACTCTGACCCTGTGTCTCTGCAGAGCAGCCTCGCTCGGGGCTCCTCCAGGCCTCCATCATCAGCTGTTACGTCATGTACCTCACTTTCTCCGCCCTGTCCAGTCGTCCGCCAGAAAAAGGTACGTTCACTAACCGGACACAGATCAGGAGCACGGATAACTGAACGTCTAAGTCTTCTGTTCACACTCAAACCTTTAACATGAAATCAAACACTCACTCAGTCATTCAAGGTTAAAACAATCATCTTTAATGTTGTTGATATTAACACAGAGCACAGTTTAACAGTTCTTCTTTTCTCACGTTGCAGTACTTTATATTTTAATAATATTAATATGTGCAGGTCTGTACAATATATCCTGTGATATTAACCATTAACAGGCTAAACTGTACAAAAGAGAAAACATTCTTGTTCACAAGTTCTGTTCATTTCCTCTGGACAGTACGGAGGACTCACACAAACACTCACACACGCACACACACACACACACACACACACTCACACACACACACACACACACACACACACACACACTCACATTCATGTGGTTCAACCCTCCATAATTTACTCACCTGTAAATGTTGCACCTGGAGCCAACAGGTGAGACATAGAGCTTCCACTGACTGAGACATTAGTGCAGAGGCCTCATCTTATCCAAGGTTTACATCCTACACATTTTACAGACGTACACACACGCACACACACACACACACACAGATGATGTGGGTGAGATGTGCTCTGACATGCTGATGGCTGGTGTCCTGTCGTGAGGCCAGACTAAAAGATTTTTGTTTCACATTCCTTCATGGAGCCATTGACAACATAATGACACACACAGCTCGTCCTGTCAACACATGGACGCACAACATCCAGAATCAGAATCAGAATCAGAAGTACTTTATTAATCCCCGTAGGGAAATTCAAATGTTACAGAGCCCCTGAAAAAGAGGTGAAAACAGCAAAAGCAGGTATAAACATAGAAATATAAAATTTAAAAAACACATTTATTTAGAGGCCCCTCATATCTTGTTTTTGATCTGTATTTGTACAGTAACTCATCAGCTGCTGTAGGGCTTCTCTCCATAGACGTCATTCTGCAGGAATTATTGTACAGAGACGTCGATCAGAGAGAAGACAGTTCAGTCACAGAACGTGCACGAGAATCTAACACAGCACAGGTTTATATATAAACATATATACATATACCTGTGCCAGGTAACCTAACCCTAACCCCATACATATATATAAACTGACTCAAGCCACGGACCAAGTTTAGCTGCAGCCCTCCCATTCATTTTAATGTAACCATGTGAGTGTGTGTGTGTGTGTGTGTGAGAGAGTGTGTGAGCACAGTGTGTGTGTGTGTGCACAATGTGTGTGTGTGTGTGAGCACAGTGAGTGTGTGTGTGTGTGTGAGCACAGTGTTTGTGTGTGGTGTGTGTGTGTGCACAGTGAGTGTGTGTGTGTGTGTGAGCACAGTGTGTGTGTGGTGTGTGTGTGTGCACAATGAGTGT